CATTTGGCTAGTTAATAACAGCTGGGATTCAAACCCAGCTCTGCCTCAGAGCCCCTCTGCTTTGCCTTTGTGGTCAGAAAGTAAGCAGCCGTTACCTTGTTCCATGCTTGCTGACTTCAAACAATGGTAGGCGAGATTTGGACTTTAGAGTTTCTGTTTTTGATTGATTGATTTACGCATTAGTTTTATATTTTTTGAGCTCCTGCTGTGTCTCAGTCACATGGTATATACAGAACAGTCAATCTTTGACTTCATAGGACTCCAGGCTTGCAGTCTAGTAGGGGAGGTAAACAAGTGGCCAGGCAGTGGTTTGAGATGTGCTATGTGAGGATGAATGGGGGCTCCAGGAGCATGGAGAGGAACTTCAACTCAGGCCTGAGAATCAGGGAAGACTTCCAGAAGGCAGGGAGGCTTAAGCTGGCATTCACTGGATGAGTAGGAGTTAGCCAAGGGAAGACAGTGGAGTCATGTTCTGGGCAGAGTGAACAGAACATGCCTAGAAGCCTGAGAGAGCTCAGCATGTTAGAGAAATATATTAAGGTACAGCTGGGGTAAGGCACATGCAGGGTGGAGAATGGGCAGGTGTAAAGCCTGAGTCTTTTCTTTGCAGTCGGGCTAGCACATGAAAGTTGGAACTGGTTAAACAGGTCTCTTCTTGCCACCTGCGTATAATGAAACATTAGGGCTCATTGGTTAAGGGCTCAGGCTTTGGGTTCACACTGCTGCTCAGCAACTTTATGACAATGTTAAGAATCAGTTTTTTTTCTCTAATGAAACCTATAACAGTATCTATTGGTATGTGGTTACTTTGCATATTAAGTGAAATTTATTTAAATACTGCGTAGCACAGTGGCTGCATGAGGCGCACACCTAACAAATGATAAGGCAAGAGGAACAAATGGGTCCTGCATTCTGTTTCTCCATGGTACAGAAAATGCCAATGCTTCTGAAGCCCAGCTGTCCGCTGCCTCCTTGACGAGTTGAGGTCAGTTCACCATCAGGCCAAGAAGCTTTATTCATAGTTTGTGACACCTAATTAGCAGGATAGTGGGCAATAGCCTGGATCCAAAATTCCTAAGGTATGCTCTGCTGAAATGAAATGAGAAATGCTAGATGTTCTGGAGCAAGAGTGTTTTATACGTAAATAAATTTGGCAATCAGAGTGTTAAAAATAAATCAGCTTCTTTACTGCATGACTCTTCAGAGCCATTAATATACCACTGTGCATTGTCAATTTGTAAGAGTTGGATAAAGTATTCTGTCTTTTCCAAACTTATTTGGCCAGAGACCCTAATGACGATCGGCTAAGAAGGAACAGGCCAGAGATGATGCCTCCTGGGACAGTTAAGAAAAGATAGAACAGGCCGGGCACGGTGGCTCAAGCCTGTAATCCCAGCACTTTGGGAGGCCGAGGCGGGTGGATCACGAGGTCAAGAGATCGAGACCATCCTGGTCAACATGGTAAAACCCC